CCCCCCCATGCCAGTCAGGCTATACCAGCCTCAGACACTCGAGGGAGGCTCCCGCCTATCTGTTTGCAACTACAGTATTAAGGGATGACTTGCACGTGTGAATGAGCTCTCTCAGGCACCACCGAGAGAATGTTCATGTTGCGTCACATTCCTTTAGTTACTCCGTTTTCAGCAAAGCCGGCCACACTATAATGAAAGCTATGTGCCAGAATTGTTAACGGGCCCCTCTCTCTTGCATAGTGCTGGCCGTGTGCACCAGGAAGCCCCAAAGAAGGTCTGCCTCGGTGTTTCTTAACACTTTAAAATGTTCAAGACCCAAGTATTCAGTGAGCACAATTTTTACCGCTTTTGGCACTTCACCTACCGCTCTGTGGCTGTAATCTTGCCCGCTAGTATGCCCCCTGGAACAGACCCGGATTTGCTTCTGTGTCAACATGCACTGGATAGGGCTGCAAGCTCATCAGAACTTTGAAAGGCTTTTTCTCTCTTGCTCATCAGCCAGCAGAATTTTTTAAGCCCTTTTCTATCCTAATCTGCAACATGCTGGCCCTTTGTCAGAGGTTGGGGGGGAGGGGCTTTGGCTCAGTGGTACACAGAAGGTCCCAGGTTCAGTCCCCGGCATCTCCTGTCAAGGATCAGATAGTAGATGATATGAAAAACCTCTGCCTCAGACCCTGGAGAGCCGCTGCCAGTCTGAGTAGGCAAGACTGTCTTCAATACACCCAGGGTCTGATTCAGTACAAGGCAGCTCCATGTGTATCCATGTATGTCATTGTTGCTGTCACGGCTCAAGTGGGGTGTCACCTGACGCTGCCACCACTCTGGATTTAGGTTTCCCTTAAGAAGGCCCAGAGCACCCTTCCAAGACGTTTAGACCTCCCTTTTGGCCAAATAATAGGTATGAGGACCAGGCAGAGTGAAACAAGGAAAACGTTTATTTTAAAGGAGGTCAAACAACAAGGTGCAGAATAATAACAGTAAATGGGTGAAAAGAAAAGAAATCAAATACTCTAATGCGTCTAAATATATACTGTCCCTAGCTCACTATTCCAAGTGACACTAGACTACTCACCCTTCCCTCAGGATGAGGGTCTCTTCCTGCAGCAGCCTTCCTTCTGGCTCTGCCCTCTGGAAGAAAGAACAGCTTCTGCTCTGGCACCAGCCCTTTTGTTCCCCAGCCCTCTTCTTCCCTATTGGTCAATTTTGGCTCCAAAACCTCTCAGGGGCTTCTGGGAGTTGTAGGCCCAGCCTCACCTACTGCTAGCCAGGCTCCCTGGGCCTAGTAGGCCTCTGGTGTCACAGCCCAGATCATGACAGCTACAAACAAATCTATTTATTTATTTATTGCATTTGTATCCCACCCTATCCCATGATGGGCTCGGGGCGGCTCACAGCAAGAATAAAACAACAAAAATGCAATTAAAACCAATTAAATAAAGACAAGATGGCAGCAGCAAATAACATCAGTCCAGAGCAGCCCAATACACTTCTTGTTAGATGTTGGTAGGATAGTAGGTAACTGTAGGCCTACTGTGGGCAGGGGAGGCCGAGATGGTTAAAAACCCATCCACCGCCTCGACCAAAGGCCTGGCGGAACAGCTCCGCTTTGCAGGCCCTGCGGAATTGTAGCAAGATCCCGCAGGGCCCCGATCTCAGTCGGGAGCGTGTTCCACCAGGCAGGGACCAGGGCAGAAAAGGCCCTGGCCCTGGTTGAGGCTAAGCGGGTGTCCTTTGGGGCAGGGACTACCAGAAGGTGTTCTTCAGCCGAGCACAAGGCTCTCCGGGGCATATACGGGGAGAGACCATCCTGTTTGTGTTTACTTGTAAGTGAGCCCCGTTAAATTCAATTTCCATCAAGTTTGCATAAAATAGCCCTGACCTGGATAGCCCAGGCAAGCCTGATCTCGTCAGATCCCGGAAGCGAAGCGGGACCGACCCTGGCAAGTCGTTGGAAGGGAGACCTCCAAGGAATACCAGGGCTGGGACGCAGAGGCAGGCAATATCAAAGCCACCTCTCTGAAAAACGTCCAAGCCCCCCGTGGGGGTCACCAGAAGTTGCCATGACTTCCAGGCATGCAAGCACACACACACACGCACACAAAAATACCCAGACAACAAAAAGTTTGCATAGAATAGCAAACATAGTATAAAGGCTAAGCAGTGGAAAAGGTATGGACAGTTAGGAAAATTAATTTACCAGGACTATTTGCAAATTTGTATTACAGTTAAATCCTTTGAGTATGATTTCACAATACAAATAATATTTTGAAGATACTAAAGAAAAAGAAAAATGTCGCTCAGTGTTCTTTTGATTATAGTTATGTACAGGTTAGCTGATGTTTTTATCCCTAAAATCCAAAAATGTTTGGCACGCATTTAATTGTGGCTGCTGCTACCTGTTAAGCCTGCGATGTTGCACTGAAATGTTTTTTGTGTGTGTGTTCACAGAATTCTGGCAGACTGGTTGCAAGCTAAATTCACAATCGGTAAAAATGTCAAGGATACTGCATCCGTGGCGGATGGTCAACTCCAGAACCTTGCTTTACATACCTCTCTTCATGTGCAAGGAGATCAGGCAGTTTGTGTTAATGTGTGCGTAAAGGTTGGTGAACGTTGGTTTTATTGCTCTTCCTCGATGTTGCAAAATCTGTTACTTTGGCTACTACAAAGTTGTGTGTACTGCAGTGGAGGCCTTTGCAGCCTGTCTGGAAACTTACATCTGGTTCAGAATGCAGCCGCCGCCAGGTTACTGTCAGGGTGGGGTGGGGAAATCTGCACTAGCTGCCCATTTCTTTCGAATGCACAATTGAAGTGCTGGTTCTTATCTGTAAGGTCCTGAATGACTTGAGATCGGGGTGCTTAAAAGGGCTGCATCCTCTCTTACTGTCCCGCCTGCCAGTTAAGGTCTTCCTCGTAAGCCCTGCTCCTTGTGCCCCTGCCTTAAGAGGTGGGGCAGTTTGGCAACCAGAGACAGGGCTTTTTCAGTGGTGGCTCCTCACTTACAGAATGCCCCTCCCCCTTGAGGCTAGCCTGGTGCTGACCGTACTCCCTTTTAGGCCCCAGGCGAAAGCATCCCTTTTTACCCAGGCTTTAAACTAAAGCTTTCAGATTGTTCTACAGTTTTCTCTTGCCTGTTCTATGAGAATCTTTTTGCACTTTGTGTGTGTGCGCGCGCCTGTGTCTGGAAGTCATGGCAACCTCTGGGGACTCCTACTGGGGCATGGAGGACATTCAGAGACGTGGCTTGTTAACCTGCCTCTGCCTCCCAGCCCTGGTATTCCTTGGAGGTCTCTCTTCCAGTTACTTGCCAGGGTCGGCCGTGCTTCGCTTCTGAGACCTGACGAGATCGGGCTTGCCTGGGCTATCCTGGTCAGGGCCTGTGAGATTCTTTTTAAAGCTGTTAATTGTTTTCTTCTGTACTTATACTCTGGCTAGTTTTCGTAAGGCTGTTCTTTTAATGCTAGGAGCTGCGGTGGCTCAAGTGGTTAAGACGCTGAACTGCAGGCTGTGGAAGGTCGGTAGTTCAGCAGTTTGAGACCCGAGTGTGCCGCATGACGGAGTGAGCTCCCGTCTCTGGTCCCAGCTCCTGCCAATCTAGCAGTTCGAAAGCAAGAAACTGCAAGTAGATAAATAGGGACTGCTTCGGTGGGAAGGGAACAGCGTTCCGTGCGCCTTGGTGTTTAGTCATGCCAGCCACATGACCACGGAAACGTCTTCGGACAACGCTGGCTCTTCGGCTTTGAAACGGAGATGAGCACCGCAACCCTAGAGTCGGATTCGACTGGCTTTCGAGCAAGGGAACCTTTACCTTTACCTCTTTTAATGCTGCTTTAATAGCTTGTAAATTTTCAACTGATTCTGTCTGTTGCTGGGGTTTTTTGGTGATGGTTTACTTGTGTGCTCCCTCGAGTAGGTTTCCTAGAGAGGCAGCGTAGACATTATCTAAATAAAGTCATAGAGTTCAAATGACCTTTGGCAAGTTTGACCTGTGTGAGTTTGGGCTCGATTTTTGCTGGCGCCGAGGGCAGCCTGTCGCGTTTGGGTGGGGGAGTCGCTCTCGGCTGTTTTGTAGGGCCTGTGTGAACCTCTGAAGCTGCCTGGATCAGACCATTGGTCCTTCAGGATCAGTATTGTCTACTCAGACTGGCAGCGGCTCTCCAGGGTCTCAGGCAGAGGTCTTTCTCATCACTTTCCACTCAATTCTTTTGTCTGGAGATGCGGGGGGGATTGATTCTGGAACCTTCCGCATGCCAAGCAGGTGCTCCACCATGCTCAAATGTGGGGACCTTCAGGTTGGGAAGCACAGTACACCTTTGGGTACTATCTGAATGGGGGCGGTGGGGGTCCCATTTGCAGACCGCCATTAAAAATAGGCTGCTGGCTCTGATGGCCCTTTAGCCTCACCCCGTTGGGCTCTTATCCTGACCTTTGTTGTTCTGTATGGAGTGTCATCGTTTCATTTCTCTCTGCAGGTGGCTCACGGGATACTCAGCCCCCCCGAGCTGGAAGACATCGAGACTCGGAAAGAGCTGTTCGGCACCAGCGGGCTTATTCTCTTGCTGCCTCCTCGAGTGAGGAGCGAGGACATCGCCGAGGAAGACGTCTACTGGCTTTCCGCCTTGCTTCAGCTGAAACGGCTCCTTCAGGGAAAGCCTTTCCACCCATTGATCCCTCTGGTGGTTTTTGTTCCAAGCCACGGAGGAGGAGAAGCCATCGAAAAAGAAGCAGAAGAAGGTACCTCTGCTCCTCTACTGTGGAAGAACTGCTCGATTTGAGTCCAGTAGCACCTTAGGTATCCGAGGTTCGACTCTCAAAAGCTTACACCCCCAAAATCTGTGTTGGGCTCTGAGGTGGTACTGGGTTTGAATCTGGCTGTTCCACCGCAGACCAAACATGGCTACTCTGTGGAACCTTGGAAGAACTGTCAATTTTAAGATTTGTAGCTAAGGCAGAAGTGGTGACAACAGAGTAGAATCATATCCGATAAATAAGAAAGGCTCAGGAAAGCCACGGGAGAAAGTCTGGTTAACCGGAAGGGGACAAATAAAGAGGCCTGAATGTTCTCAGTATAGAGGTTTGTTTTGCGGACGGTTGCTGTTTTAAAAGCTGAAATCAGTATTTTCTAGTGAAGACGAAAGTAGCACTGCTCCCAAATTCCAATTTGCTCTATCCTAGAAAAAGAATTATGCTTTATCAGTACAGTCAGGCTGGCTTTACAGCGACCTTTAGGACAGTATATGTAGGCTGGCAGGGAGAAGGAGCTAAAGCCATTGATACTAAGGTCTCCTATTAACCATGTTTCCTGTAAACTCAAAATTCCTGATAAAATTAATAAAATCAGTGTCCTGTTTTTTATTGTTCCAGCCGGATATATTCTACGATATTAAATGGACATGTCTGCTTTGGTTTCTTGAGGATAGTCAAGTCATTTTCTTCTACCAGATCAAGTCTCTTGTGTGTGTCATTCAAAATACATCCGTTTGTCCATGGAGGGTGAGATGCAATAGTAGATGATGGTTCCATAGATTCCGAAGTTGGACTGGCGTGGCTGCCCCGTTCTGTTCTGTGCCAGTCAGTAGGAATAATTTGGTAGTGTTACTGCAATGGAGTTATGTTTGTGTCTCTCTCCTCCTCCTCCATTTTTTAAAAGGGTTGATGCTGCCGGATTTGATTTCAGCTAACCTTATCTCAGACTACATCGTTGTGGAAATGCCGGACTCTGTCAATGACTTGCAAGGCACCGGCAAAGTAAGAACAGTCTTAATTCATTATTTCACTGGAACGAATGGTTAGAGTGAAGCGGGGGAGTGTTCCTTCTGTATTCCATGTAATGGCTGGATTAACCGCAAACGAAACAAAATTCACTGATGAGAGTGGGGGGAGTTTTGGAAACAGGACGTGCACAACTTTTGTGGCTGTTGCAAATTAAAACTGACCTTTCGATCTTTCTTCACAGTCTCCCCCCCTAATTTATTTATTTATTTAATTTATTTATTTATCATTTCAATTTGTGAATCACTCTGTCCCTGAATACTCAGGGCCTTGAGCGATGAACAACAGAATGAGACATCAGGATAAAAGCAGTTCCACCCCCCCTAATTTATTTATTTATTTAATTTATTTATCATTTCGATTTGTGAATCACTCTGTCCCTGAATACTCAGGGCCTTGAGCGATGAACAACAGAACGAGACATCAGGATAAAAGCAGTTCCCAGCCGTTAAACAGTCTAGATAAAACAATTAATTCACAAAGTAAATAAAACAGTTCATAGATTGTGTTAGCAGATTCTAGACTGTGTTGCAGCTTCCTCAAAGAGGTAGGGAAAACATAGTTGGAAAAATTGAAAAAGGGAAAAAGGGGGAGGAAGGGGAGGGACAAGGGGGCGGGAGTGCCAGCCAAGATGGCGTCCGTTGTTGTCCTCAACCAAAGGCCTGGCAGAACATCAGGCAGTGTGGATTGACGTATTCTTGTACTTAAAATGTTTATATGCCACCTCCCTCAAGTTTTCATGTAGCATATAGTAATTAAGAACTCTTCAGGGGAGGTCATTGTGTAGCTCTGGAGAAATTTTATTGGAGGCCCTGCTCTTTTCTAAGGATGTCCTCTCAATCTGTGGTGGAGGCATCTAGATCTAGGGCTGATGACCTGCAGACCATAAACAAAAGCAGGGCTCATAAGAATATAAGAAGAGCCCTGCTAGATCAGACCAGTGGGCCATCTAGTCCAGCATCCTGGCTCACTCAGTGGTCAAATAGTTGCCCTGGAGGTCCAGCAACCGGGGTATAGAGGCCAAGGCCTTTCTTTCTTGTTGCCTTCTGGCACTGGTCTACAGAGGTTTACTGGCTCTGGATGTGGAGGGTTCCCTTTAGTCACCATGATTAGCAGTAGGGTTGCCATCCCCCCGATGGGGGTGGGGTTTTCCCCACTTTTGGGGCCCCCAGTCTGCTGCTGGCCCCACCCCCATAATGCCTGATGTCCCCGGCATGATGATGTCACCCGGGGGTGATGTCATCAGGCCAGGCATGTTGTGCGGGGGGATACTCTAGCATTTGGGTAAAAACTCTATGGTGACCTTAGAGCTTTTTACCCAAATGCTAGAGCATCCCCTGAACGACGTGCCTGGCATGATGATGTGACTTCCAGGTGACGTCATTGCGGCATGCGTGCCAGAACACCCTAGGAGCCAGGCTGGAGCTCCCCGCTGGGACACAGGTAAGACCGGGCAACCCTAATTAGCAGCCACTGATAGACCTCATATGGGGAAGTATGGGGGAGGAAGCTGTTGGTGGGCATGCAGTTCCTATAGCCGATGTGGGCAGATTTGTCTCTCTGCTTGCATCTTTTGGTGCCTTGTGTGCCCTAAGCCAGAGTCTTACTTTGAACGACCATATTTGCTTCTGTGGGGTCTTCATGATAATCACAATTCCCACTGAAACCCCCTGCAGCCCAAAGATCTTGGGCTTTTCACGTGACTACAGAGATGGGGCAGTCCCTACGCTAGCAATTGGTCACAGAGGATGAAGCAGTTTCTTATCTGAATATGAGCTTATTATATAGTCCATTCATTGATGCTGCCTGTTATGAGAAAGAGGGAGAGAGAGAGTGTGTGTGTTGTTCTAGGCAAGTATGGGAAGTAATCCAAGACCTATGTTGAGAACCCCTCCCACACACACATGTTTTTATCTTCAAATACTGTTATGCTGAGAAGTGCCTCAGTTTGGTGTACTGGTTAAGAACACGGAATCAAATCTGGGAGAACTGGGTTTGATTCCCCACTCCGCCACATGCAGCTACTGATGTGACCTTGGGTCAGTCACAAGTCCTCTCATAGCTGTTATCTCGAAAGAGCTCTCTCATACCTCGCAGGGTATATCTGTTATGGGGAGGGGAAGGGAAAGGAGTTTGTAAGCCGCTCTGAGACTCCGAGTGAAGGGCGGGGTATAAATCCAATCTCCTCTTGCTCCTCCGCTTCACTGAGGGCAGGATGGCTGCTGTTCCAACAGAATTGGAATCTTAACATGAGACCCAGTGAATTAACTCGTCGTCTGAACGCTTCTGTCCACAGCTGACTGACGCGGTACAGTGGCTGATCGCTCAGTGCCCCAGTTCCCTCCAGCTCTGCTGCCAGACACTCACGCAGTACATTGAAGATGGCCTCGACCGAGAGTTCAGCCAGCATTTCTACCAAGACAGGAAGGAAAGGCGGGAGGCTGGCTTGCCCTCCCAAGATCCCAGTGCTATCATAGAGCTGTACAATAGCGTGGTGCAATTCCTGGCTGAAGTTGCAACTTCCGAAGAGCTCCGTGACCTGTCCTGGCCTGCGACGGAGTTTGTGGAGCCCGGGGGCAGCAAAGCGCTTCCCCATCTGCAGTGGAACACACCCAGGCATTTGGCCTGGCTGAAGAAAGCGGTCCTGTCCTTCCAGATCCCACAGATGGATCTCCCGCCTCTCGGTGGTAAGAATTTCTAGGCAGAATAACAGGTCTGAGGACTGTTTCCCAAAAAGGGCTTAGACACTGCCGTGCCGACTAAAATCCCGTGTTCTATTTTTCTAAAAGAAG